CCCCACTCCACTGGGGAGAAAATTCCCAGTTCCTACCCTACTGGGATGATAGCGCCAGGCCAGAGCAACTTTCACCCCTGCTAACGACAAGCGACAGCTACAACATTTGCTCTAGCTTGGGTATTTGATTGTTGCCAGGCATTTTAATGGCTCAAGTGATAACCTCTACCCCTTCCTCCACCAAAATTGAAACTCAGAATCCTAGTGACAGAGAGAGACAGAGGGATCCCGACAAGGCACAGCGAAGAAGGAATAAAAACTCACTAGACAATTGCTTCTTTCCCAAAATAGTTCAGTTTTTGTATCCTCCATCACTCATGTATCCCTCCTCTTGTTTCCACCTCCCCACCAAGTTCAGAATGTAAATAAAAACAGAAAGCCTGAACATCCATTGATGTAAACTGAGGCAAGTCTCTTGACTTCAGTGGAGCTTTACTGAGCAATGCCCGCTTGGATTTGGCCCCAAGAAACTTTTTGCCTAGCATCGGTGCTGGAAAAAGTACTCAAAGTTACTTGAGTAAAAGTACTGCTACTCTGGAAAAAATGTAATTAAGTAAAAGTCAAAGTCTCCTTGTGGAAAACTGCTGGAGTAGAAGTACAAAAGTGTCGCATCTGAATTGTACTCAACTATGCAGAAGTAAAAAGTAACCATCCTATGGAGATCTATGGTTAACCGCATGAGTCATCCTAGGGCACCTCCTCACCCACACAGCCAGGAGCTCGCATTCCCATTCGAGCCTCATGGTTGCTGTGCAGCCGCAAGGCTGCAGCAAAAGCTCCAACTTCCCACTTGGCGGTGCGGGGGTGGGAGGTGAAGAAAGCACCGATCTTCCCTGCCAGGCCTGGCTCGTGGAGAGAGGCAGATCAAGAGAGCTGCGACGCTGTAGCACCAACTCTGGCTTCCCACTCGGAGAGAGTGGGGGGAGATGGGAGGCGCTCCAATGTGTAGGGGCCAGGGCAGACGACATGGAGCCAAGCACAGGACTCTGCACCGAGATGCTGTGGGTGGCCAAGGAGGCCTTCCACAACGGCAACTTCGAGCTGGCGGCCAAGATCTATGGCTCGCAACTGGCTGAGCTGCTTCAGCCCGAGCAGGACCTCTGCCTGCACCAGGGGACATGCTGACCCACGTCCACTGCATGGCCGAGGCCCTGGAAGCCTACAGTGCTGCTGCCCAGCTGGCCTGCCTGTGGCCCGAGGAACTGTGGCAGCTGGCCTAGAGCCTGGCACTCTGCCTGAATAAGAAGGCCCTGCGCCTGCTGTCCTGGCCCGCTGGCAGCCTCAAGAGAGCAGGCGAGGAACTGGGTGACCCCACCTGCAGCCGACCACCAGCACTGCTCAGTTGCCCGCTGTGCGAGCTGGTGACTCTGCACTGCGGCTGCCAAGCCCAGCTACTGGAGGGGCTGCCGTCGGCTCTACCAGCCGCCACCAGACCCTGGATCAACGTGGTGCTGCCGGAGCTCAGTCCCCCCTCCTCCCCACCCTGCTGGGGGAAGAGCAGCATAGTGATGCGCTGTCCAGAGGCTTTCCCTGCTGCTGCCACTGACCCACCACTGAGAATGGTGTGTGGGAGCAACA